GAGAGAGAGAGAGAGAGAGAGAGAGAGAGAGAGAGAGAGAGAGAGAGAGAGAGATTAACCTTGAACATATTGTGTGGATGGAACAGGTTGTGAAGAGAGAGAGAGAGAGAGAGAGAGAGAGAGAGAGAGAGAGAGAGAGAGAGAGAGAGAGAGATTAACCTTGAGCATACTGTGTGGATGGAACAGGTTGTGAGGCATGGAGGTGGTGAGGGGTTTGGCGACAGGCCAAGCATTGGCCCAGGTGGCATGGGTCCAGGTGGATTCATGAGATCTGGTCCTTATGAGGGCCGGCGGTCACGATTGCGCGACATGGATGCAGTCATTGAGGTGAGTAAGACGGACATTGCATTCCCTGCTAATTCAACATTTACAGCCCAAGTGCATGTCAAACAGGCGAATTCCTGCTCAACCAGTCAAAAAAACGCGGGGGACCTTGCACTCTCTCTCGCTGTTCCCGATACTTTTTAGAGTATTGTTCTCACCCTTGTTGTTGTTCAGGATGGAATAGAGGTTGTTGATGGGTGGTCCTTGCCAACACAGCACACACTTCGCCTGTGACATTGGCATTGGTCTGTTATGCTCCTTCCAAAAAAATGTTTTCTGCTCTTGGGATCCATTGCTTTCATGGGCGGTATCCGAACCATTCGTGTCCCATCTGGGGTACCAGCCCCGGCCACTTACAATGGGTCTACTGTTGAATCTCGTTGTGCAATTTGAGCGTGAGAACCAGTATCTCGCCGTTACACCATTAGTGCAGGTCGCTACTTTTTGTATTCCGTTGCTGTTCTCCACCTCCCTCCTCTCTTCGCTGCCTCCTCCCCCGTCCTTCCCCTCCGGGCACACCTGTACTGCTAAAACATCATGTCTATGCAGGTTCAAGCTCACATATAGCAGACGGGTAGACAGGTGTGTGACAATACATCCTGCTCAACCTCACAACAATCGGTACTTCCTGCTCATCCGCACAACAATCATTACTTCGTGCTCAACCACTCCATCGCTCCAATGCCGGGATCCTTGTGCGGCTTGTAAAAGTTGGTAATGAAGAACATTCCACAATTTGGCAAGGTTGGCAATGGACAAATAATTCGATCAGATCCTCTTTTGAACTTTTGGAGAAATCGGCTCTTTCTATATGGATGGTCTTACTTCAATAAAACACGCACGGAAATGCAAAGCTATGAATACGTAGTTTTTGGTCCAGGAAGAAACGGAGGGGGTTGGCCGATGAGCGTTTACAGCACACATAAGCACACCTGTGTGCCAATGTGTAACAGAAATGCTCTTGCGGCGCAAATCGGGGATTACTCCGCTTCGGGTGAACTGGCAGCTCAAAGAGCAAACAAAATATGAGTTGCAAGTGTACTTGAAGGCAAACGGATGTGTACGCTTCCTGCCCTCAAGTATACAGACGTGCTAGGCCTTGCACCACTCAAAGCCAAAAGGCAAACGGATGCGTGTGGTTCGTGGGCTGAACAGCATGATTCTCTAAGTCAGCGAGTAACGGCTTGGACTCTTAGGAATGGTTCTGGTGGTGGCGGGGAGGGAAATTGCTAACGCGCTTACATGATTCCAAATGGATGCGTATAACATCAGACTCGATCAGAGCGATACAGGCAATTGCTAATATGCCTCCGTCCTCAGCAAGGCACGAGGAAGTGCAAATCTACACTACACGAGAGTTCACCTCTGACAGACAACCAGGCATGAAGCACCGGCGAATATGCAATCACGGGATCGGCCGCCCTCGATAACAAGAAGGTCGACAGAGCCGCCGTAGTAGGCGGGGAGGGAAACCGACCCAGCCAGGAACCGAAGGGCGGCGGTCACGAATCAATGGCACATTTTTTTAATAATCCGTTTTTAATATTATATGGCATGTTCAGGGGTCCTTCGGCCAGACGGAAGGAAGCGTGAGGGTGTCTCATATTGTAATTTCTGACTTGCCGGTGGAATAGGAACCGGACTGATGCTCCCCAGAATGGATATGGAGCCAGGCCCATAAGGACCTGTTTTTCTTTAAACCACTAGTACCTCCGAGCCTGTTTTTGCCGACCCTGAATTATAGTGCGCGCCGACTTTGCCGAGCCTGTGTCCCGTGGTACCCTACGACGTTGGCTTTTCTTTTTTCTTTTTTTTGTTTTTGAACCGGTAACGTTTCCACTTGTGGTCTTTCGGCCTCCGGCAAGGACCGACGGACGGACACACGTTAGGGTGGGGTCCCTGTGGTTGGTGCAATAATGCGAGGCCAGAATTGCGTTTTTTTTTTTTTTTTTTTTTTTTTTCTTTCTCCCTTCAGAGGTCGCGTGTGTTGGTTCGCCGGCGACCGGTAGTGCGGAATGGATGGCGGTGGTTGTCCGCATGTGGGTTGACGGATGAACGACGATGGTTGCCATCGTCAGCGGCGCATCCCGACGTTGGCTTGTGTGTGTGTGTGTGTGTGTGTGTGTGTGTGTGTGTGTGTGTGTGTGTGTGTGTGTGTGTGAGAGAGAGAGAGAGAGAGAGAGAGAGAGAGAGAGAGAGAGAGAGAGAGAGAGAGGCGATGGGGATGGCGGCCGGATGAGAACCCTACAGCGGGACGTCCGCAGGCGGCGGTCCTTCGGGCGTCGATGCAAGGTGGCCGCCCGCGAAGGTGGTCGTCCAGTCACCCACCATCCACCGGCGACCGCAGAGCACCGACTGCCCGATCTGCCAGGCCCAACCCGTCCCCGGCAGGACCCGGTAGTGTTTCCACAATGCGCCCGCTGTCCGGGAACGACCACAGGCCCGCCAATGTCCGTGCACGACCCAAAAAAAACAGTACAAAATCGTTTTCTTTTCGGGACACTGAATCGATGCCGAGCCTCTTGGGACTCCCGATAACTTCGGGACCTGGCAAAACATCTTAATTTCCCAACACTGGCGGAGGTACTAGTGGTTAAGAAAAAAAAAAAATAAAAAAAAATTATATGGCATGATGGCAGGACTATTCCAGACGGGAGATCTATGCATCCAGGTGCAGAAGGGGGTGGTAACTTTGCCGTGGTGATTGTCTACAAGACTAGAACACATACATTGGGGATTGTGACCATGCTATCATCCGCCACTATTTAGAGTATAACGGTATTGTCACTGTTGAAATGGTCACCAGAATCACCAGACACAATTCCAACAGTCGAAAAAAAAAAAAGAAAAAAAAGTTAAAAAAACTGTTTACCCAAGAATGAAAACAGTATACCCCGGTAACCTCTGGTGCACTGCTGGAATGATGGAATGATGGTTTGAGAACACGCACCAGCACAAGCAGCAGAGTTGTGGTGTTGATAGATATTCTAAAACACACACATTGTCAGGGGCTTGAGCTGGACAGCCTGCCAGGATCGCGGTGTTGGTGTGAGTAAAGTATACCACTTTTCCCAATAGGGTGTTTCTAACCTTGGGCAAGGCGGCGAATCCTTATCCATCAGTCGAATGCACCTTCCGGATGAGTCTGTGAAAGTCCAAATAACAGTGTTTCAGTCACTCCTTTTCACAGAGAGTCGTGTTTTGCGAATACTAGATAGTAAACATACATGCCAAGCCTTGCCAGGGTGATACCAGGTGTTGAGCGGAAAAAGAAAAGAGGCGTTTATCAGAAGTTTATCTGTTTTTTATAACTTTTTTCATTTGGGTAGCAATTCTGCGAGCAGCGTTCTGCGGTACCAGGAAGAAATGAAAAAAAAACACTCTGTCGATTGAGGATTGACCCGTGAGAAACACAAAAAGACCACTATGAAAATAGTATGAATCCATGGTTGATCTGTGCATCTGCGCCTGGAAAAAGTACAATAGAAGGGAGAAATAAAATGGATAAAATGTGTGGGTCTCTGGCTTCACAGATTATTCCACAAGACGACGACTTGCTTGTCGCGAACGGCAACAAATGTCATGACGAAGTCGAGGATCCGACGGAAGATGAAGAGACCGGAGGTGTCGAGGAGCCAGTCGAGGATAATGAGAAGAGCGGCCGAGGGAACGACCGTGTTAAAGAGGTGGAGCAGGTTAATGAAAAGGCATCTGTGAGGCAAAGTGACGTGCCAGAGGTTGATTTAGTGGAGGGGCAGGGAGAGAGGGAAGAGGTAGATGGGGAGGTTGAGGGAGCGGCTGGGGAGGTCATCGAGGGAAAAGGGATTGAGGAGGGGGATGATGTGTCTGAGGAGGCGGCAAGCACAAAAGACGCAGTCGTGACAGAGGCAGAGCAAGCGGCAGATGAAGATAAACCGGAGTCAGGTAAACAATCTGCAAGAGTGGAGGCGAAGAAAGCGGATGCTTCTCTGCTTGAGGATGCAAGGGCTAAAGAGAAGACAGAGGAGAATGAAGTTATGTCAGAAAGATCTCAGCAGCAGCGGCCAAAGGTGGATGATGGAGGCCTCGATAGAGAGAGCGGTGAGCAAAGTAAATGCCGGCGTGTGCCAAATGTGCGGTATGATGAACATCAGGATGAGAATGACGATGCCGATGCTGGTGATGATGAAGAAGAAGTGACCTGGAATAGCAATCGGAAGGGGTTTGTGGTGTCATCGGAGCGACCGGATCAGTTTCGCAGTTTGATGCAGAAGGTATGGATGTGCCCGATTCAACTGATGATTGACGGAGTGTATGGCTTCTCCTCCTCCTCTATTTTTCCTCCGCCTCCACCCCCTCCTCCCCCTCCTCCCCCTCCTCCCCACAACGTTGCTGCTGTTTATCACCAAATGTGTGTTTTGTAGTCTGCATAAAAATAGCTCCTTGTACCAGAATGGGTTTTGCTGCAACGTTTGCGGCTTTTGCCAAATCCTTGCTTGCCAGGGAAATTGGAACCGGACTGACGTGGCCCAGAACGGAACCCAAGCCGGGCTCATAAGGACCTGGTTTCCCGTCGAATCCGTTCCTTCTCCCGGCCCCCCCCCCCCCCCCCCCCCCCCCCCCTTTCTCCCTTTCAGAAAGATATATACTGTGACCTTCTTGAGATGGTTAGGTCTGGGAGGTCACTCCCTTTTTTTTCCTGTTCAGAGTTTTTCTTTGTTTTTTGAACTTTTTTCGGGCAGTCGGCCGCAGTCCACAAATGGGAGAAAGTTATCTGATGTTCAAAACCCGAAAACGTTAATAACTTTATTGTTCCTTAGTCAAATCACAGCGTACGTTGGCCACAAGGGTGACACTCGTCGTCAACTAAATGGAGCGACCGGTCATTATATCTGTATCTAGACTAAAGAACTGTACGCATTACAGTTGTGATAATGACCGCGTGTTCTATTTGCCTGAAGAGGGTAGGCTCGCCGACTTTCTACAACCAAACCAGTTCTCCGTTCATTCCCCTTCGAGGCTCAAGCTATATCATTTTTCCCCTAAAGGTCACGGGCTCACGAGAAACGACTTCTTGAGTCTTTGATGCAATTCTCTCCTCTCAGCTTGCGTTGGACAGCCAGCATTGCACCCGTGATCATTTTTCTAAGAACATGCGACAGTCCCCTGGATTGGAAGGGCTGATGGCAGTGATGGGTGCCTGCCATAGCTTGCCCTGCGAAAAAAGAATCTGTGCATGCCTCCCACAGAAAGCGGCACCTTCACCAAAACTTTTGTGGCCGACCAATTGGCCTATTATGAGTTTTGCAGGCCCACTGGCCCAGTGGGGGCTGCAAAATGCTTGGTGGGGCCATGAAACTGGCCCAGTGGGCCCGCTGGATACTGTAGCCATTGTCCCATTGTCCCATTGTCCCATTGGCCATCGGTTCCGCTGTGCCACTGTCCCATTGCAATAATGGCCTCATAGAATTTATTTAGAGTGCATGGTCTGTTTTCCATCTGCAGAAAGTAGTGGGTACTACAGGCAGCCATGAAATGAAAAGCCTTTTGAGCCGGTGTGGCAAAATTTGTTTGTCGGGACGGGGGCTGTGCGCACAACTTCGCGGCACAAGATGGCAAGGGAAACGCGCAACAAACCATACTTTCACAAGATGACTAAACCTGCTGGAAACTGTAGCATAGCTTGCTCCCCCCCCCCCCTCAACCCCCTTCCGGCTTATTGGGGGGTACAGGATCTAGGCTGTCAGCAGATTCAGTAGTCCGATAGGTTGATGTGACCCAGTGACCCAGCAGGATCTGCTTACGCTTGTGGCAGAATGAGCACTCGTTTGTGGTTCTCTCTTTACCCTTACGGTTGCAGACGTCGGAAAGCTTTGTGAGGGTCACAAGACTGCAGCAACAAATGAGGGTAAAGTCTAAACTGTGTGTGTGTGTGTGTGTGTGTGTGTGTGTGTGTGCGCGCGCGCGCGCGCGCTCGGGTGTGTGCAATATCAATGAAACTGTCGCAGGGGGTTGTTCTTCGCCATCCAGAGCAGGCATACACTATGCAACGACACCAGCTCGATGCTCTGCAGACCTCTCATCATCTAATGAGTCGGCATCTTTATGCGCAGCAAATGAGAGCGCAGTGGTTGGAGCGCGAGAGGGAATTTGAGAGACTGGGAGTGGTGGGACCGAAGGGAACTGTGAGGGATACCCTCCCTCCAGCTCCTCCGAGGCCGGGTCCTAGGGACGGATCCTTGGAACTAGACTTTGGACATGCACATGCACATGCCATGGGAATCCGACCGCCAGGGTCTGGTGCTGGTCCGGGAATTGGTGTCGGTGGCAGTGCACTCTACCCTCCTCAAGGACCTCAAGCAATGTTCATGCCTTCCAGGTCTGTTTCTGGCCCCTCTTACCCACCATCACCACCCTGAATGCCCTTCCATTTCTGTATCCCTCTGTACATCTTTTCTCTTGCCGCGAGCCTGGAAGCTTTGTTCTTTTTTATGCGACTGCTTGTAAATGGCACACTTTGGGAAACTGCATCTGTCTGTCACTTTACTTCTTCTCTGTTTGCTTTCTGTTTTCTCTCTGTTTTCTTCCGGTTTCCTTTCTTTGTTCGCTGTTGCCTCAATCTCCTTTTTCTTCTGTGTCCTCTCTGTCTCTGTCTTCCCTGCCTTCTGTCTTCTTCATCTGTTGTCCTCTCTGTCGTCTCTTTCTTCCTTTTCTCTTGGTCTTCTCTGTCCCTCTATCGTCTCTGTCTCCTAGAACTTGTCTACTTCCTCTGTTCTCTGTCTTCTATCATCTTGCTTTTCTTGCCTTCTCTGCATTCTTTGTGTTCTGTCTTCTCCACCCTCAGGTATGCTTTTTTTTTTTTCGAACGGCGGGCATCGATCCTATTGCTATCGCAGGCTATGTTTTGTTCCGATGGTTAACACTTTCTCTTGTTGGCTGTTTGGTATTTGATTGATTGTTATGAGGGTGCCGCAGGGACGGTTGGGATTACCATAGTGTTTCTTCTGTGTGGGAAGCTGAGACGTCAAGAGGGCGAGGAGGAGGTGGAGAGGAGGAGAGAGGGTGGGGATAGATGGAAAGAGAGAGTGGTATCCCTCATGGTTTGATGGCTGTATTGGGGGAGAGATGGGCATTGAAGGGAAGAAAAGACTGATCGTTTTGATGGGTTTCCTTGTCCCCTTTCTCTCTGTGCTGTAGCTCAGTGTGTCTGTGAAAGCAAACTTTCTTTTATCTTTCTCTCCTCTAGTGTGTGTGTGTGTGTGTGTGTGTGCGTGTGTGTGTGTGTGTGTGTGTGTGTGTGTGTGCGTGTGTGTGTGTGTGTGTGTGTGTGTGTGAGAGAGAGAGAGAGAGAGAGAGAGAGAGAGCCTTGAAGGGAATAGGAAGACAGGTGGATCTGATGCGTCTGGGTTGTCTTGTTGTCTAATCTTATCTGACCAGGAATCATGCACTGGAGTTAGGCAGGGGACCAGTGCGTATGCTGCCTGGAGTGAATATGCCTTCTTCCCTTGTCCAGAGGGGGGCCGCAGACTGGGTTTGTGCTCCCGGGCCTTTGTCTGGCGCCCATGAAGATCTCGTTGCAAGGCAGATTGAAAGTCGACGGGCCGTCCAGCCAGGAATCAGGTGAGGTCATTGTGTTGGCTATCCTCCTGTGAAGTTCGATGTTCAGATGTTCTTTTTTTTCTTTCAATCCCACTTTACAGTCTTAGCTTACCCCTTTTCGGATTCGTTTCTCTCTGAGTCATTACCGTCTTTGTACTGGACCGCCTGTCTACTGTGCTCCTCTCCCAAACACCACTCACCCTGATCATGCATGTATACATACAACCTCCTTTCTGCACAAACACAGTCATGATCATGAGGGTGGGTTTCACTCTGTTGAAAATAGGTACACCCATGGGCCTCATCATGAATGCCAGGTTTGGATGTAGGTTGTTAGTGTATTACGAAGGTAGATTGATAAATTTGGTATCTGACCTCGCATTCAGAACAAAGTAGACTTGCTACCAACGGGCCTACCGTCTTCACACGAATAGAACGCCCGGTCATTATAGCTGCATTTGGCCCAACTTTCAGTCTAGATGCAGCGATAATGACTGGGCGTTCTATTCGGGTGAAGATGGTAGCTCAGTTGGTACACCAATGAACTGTTGAAAACCAGACTCAAGTTGGAATCCCACATCTGAAAGGCCTTCCACGATTCCGACCCCAAAGTCGGATCTCAGGATCAGATGCCCTGGTCAAGAAAAGGCCGAGTTCGTCAAACTCAGAAAAGTCACAGTCGGGTACCTCAGCGGTCTGGTCCAACAGGCACCCAGCAAACAGTCACATCTCAGGGACAAGAGTCATGTCTCATAATAAAAAGCCGTTTTGAGGAGTCACATGCCGCGAGAGAAAAGGCAGATTCACAAGCAAGAGTCATGTCTCAAAGGCAGGGGTCACGTCTCATAATGAAAAGTCTTGCTGAAGAATCACATCCCACGAGTAAAAGGGCAGATCCACAGGCAAAAGTCGTTTTCCGGATTCACAAGTCACAGTCCACAGTCAAAAGTCGTGTTCACAAATGAAAAGTCACGACTCAAAGGCCCAAGCAGCAGCAGACCAAAGGAAATTCGGGAAGGTTCCGGGCCTTGACATTCAGAAGCAGACAGGCCGTGGGGATGTGGTACCAGAACCAGCCAGGTCCCAGAGAAGCGGAGGCTGGCACGAGTTGAAGACCATTCCAAGACTACAAAAGGACTGGCCGGCCTACCATTTGGGCAGATTGCTCATTTGCAAGGAGTATGGAAGTGCTGGTGCACTTGTGCGCTGATGTGAGGGGCAGAGCGCTGAAGCCAGAGTGCTGCGCTAAGAGAGAGAGAGAGAGAGAGAGAGAGAGAGAGAGAGAG